GCGGGCAAGGAGCGGAACAGTCATCGGAGACGGGGTCCAGGGTTTAGGGTTTCGGCCTTTCTTACTTGAGTGAGGCTCTGTGTTTAGCCATTAGGTGCAGGGATGAGCTGTTTCTGCAAGGTTGATAATGTAGGAACCTGATTAAGAAACCCTGGCCCTATAACACCCAAAAGAATACGGTTCATATTCAGAACCTTACTAAACCCTCAACCCTAAACCCTAAACCCTGCCCAGGGTTTCTTAATCAGGTTCCTACATTATGTTGATTCTGAGACGCCCAGGCTCCGGGTCGTCGCCAACCCCTTTTTTCCTACACCTGGAACGTGCCTGAGAGCAGTGCCGGTTTAGGGTTTAGGGTTTAGGGTTGATTGTGGATCTGGTTCGATTGCCTGTTTGGTATTTGCTGCAGGAAGGAGTGTCTCGGACGGAAGGCTATCCAGCTAATCCATATCTTGGGCTCTTTCTGCTACCAGAAGTGCGAACATGATAGCTCGGTATGTGCGTTCCTGTTTATCTATCCTATGTTTCTCGGTAACCATCGGTGTTTTTGATTACATGGAGTTCACAGAGACAGAGAGAAACTGAGAGAGAGCGAGAGAGAGAAAGAGCGCGAGAGTGAGAGGGGAGGGGTCGAAGTGTATTAAGGGCCGACCAGACAGGACTGATGCTGCGCAAGGGCGGAAGGAGCGCTGGCAGCTCCCACGAGAGAGAGGGGCCGTAATCAGAATAGTATTTTGTTCATTGTGTTTCATAGTTACAGTTTAAACTGGAACCCTAAGGAATAGCAAGATAAGGAGGACGAGGTGGAGATGGAGGCAGCACGCTTGCATTCCGAAGCTGCGGGACACCACTCAATCTTGGCATGCATAGAATCCGAAGCCGAATCGGCTTGGACGTAGCCAACTGTTTTTCGTAGCTCAGCAGCAGCCGCAGAATTTCTTGAGAGGCTGAAGCTCGGAAGCGCAGTTAGAAGACGCGGAATTCCAGAGAGGTTCGGGTTCGGGGTACAGGCGGGTTGGGTCTTTGGCTCGTTGTTAAGCATCCGAAGCTACAGCCTGCAGTATCAGATATCTGGGTTTATACACTGCATTATTCGGTAGTCCACGTGTTTTTGGCACGTAGAATTCCCTAACCCTAAACCCTAAACCCTTAAACAAAAACAACTAAACCCTAAACCCTCAACCCTAATCCATAAACCCTAAACCCTAAACCAGAAGCCCCTTGATTGAACTTCTCTGCTTGCCATGGGCCTTCGCGTTCTCCTCCTGTTGGCTGGCTGGTTCCTAGCTGCATTTTCAGGTCATCACCTGCCCGTTCAGAACTGAAGTAGGGTTTAGGGTTTAGG